TTTTTTGAGTCATTTCGTTCATTGAATTAACAAAATTACTCGGAAAAAAGATTTGTTCGTTTTGATGAACGAGTGAATGAAATGACTCGAAAAAAGATTTGTTCTTTTTGATGAACGAGTTCGAACAGCGAGTCACGGACTTGCATCAGAGAACAGAGCAAGGGTTCATTCAATGAACAAAATGACTCGAAAAAAGATTAGTTCATTTTGAACTCTCATTTGGACCTTGAACCGTTTGGTGCCCAATGAAGTCATTATATGGAGAAAAATCCTGGAATGTTTTTATCAAAAACCTTAATTTCTTTTGACTGAAGAAAGAAAGACATGGACATCTTGGATGACATGGGAGGGTCAGTGACGTGCCGCACTGATTTGCACTTCCAGGAGCAATAAATATTATATAATAATATAAAATAGGTTTAAAATTATATACATGTTTTAATCTCACATCATCTGTCCTCCTCACTGTTCTTAATTGTGTGAAATTTCAAAAATAGGTAATTTTTAGACTATTAATGTGGTCAAATGTCATACGGAGAAACGGAATTCACTTAAAGTTATTTAAGACAATTGTATTTAAAATGATTAAAAATGTTTAAAAATGATACAATTTTTCATTTGGCATATTTTTTCAAGTCTTAAGATAAGCATATTAAAGTATCAGTAAGATAGTCCTTTCAGAAATGTCATTTGTATCTAAAACAAATTGTTCCGCAAAAACACATTTTCCCTATGTCATACGGTAAAACAAAGTTTAGAAGCCATTTTGGAACTGGATATTAATGACTTAAGTCATGTGAAATATGATGACATTACTCAGAGGACCCCTGAAGACCAGCCAAGTTGAAGGCAAGTTTAAGATTTTGCTCCTACATTTGGGGTAATTTCACCTTTTCCAAGTGAGTTACATGTGTCACAGATTTGGGTGTCATATGGTCAAACGTCAAAAAAGGGTTTAAAACATTTAAAATTTGAAAAAATATTTATTTACAGGTGAAATATAAAGTTTAAAAGTCAAGGTAAAGGGTAAAGATGGAAGGAGGTGGCCAAGCAACTGCCTGTTATAAATGACACAGCACAAAATTGTCATAAGGGCAAACAAAAAATGTCATACAGACAAACGGTTTTACCGTATGACATGTTGTTATACCATATGACACAGAGCATTTAACTGTTATTTCTTAATAGTTATATAACATATATAGTTTGTATGACTACTATGAATTAATATTAACATATATAATATATTTCTGCCTATTTTAAGCATTTTTTCACATTATTACAGATGCCTCTTTCTAGTAAGGAGAGGGGTGCATGTTTCCGTGCAAAGCTAAGGGCAGATCCTGCAGCTAGAGAGGAGAACCTAGCCAAGAGGAGGGAAAGGGTATATGATGTGAGAGTATATGATGCCAGTAATGTTAGGATGTGCCAGTTTAGTCAGTATAGGCAGTATCTTATCTATAGGCCTGAGTTGAAGTCAGCATCACAATGTTTCTGGAAAGTGGCTTTATATACAGTGGGGCCAAAAAGTATTTAGTCAGCCACTGATTGTGCAAGTTCTGCAACTTAGAATGTTGAGAGAGGTCTGTAATTTTCATCATAGGAACACTTCAAATATGAGAGACAAAGTAAACACTGTAAACACCAGCTACAGTGTGTGCAAACCTGGTGAAGACTTACAGGAAACGTTTGACCTCTGTCATTGCCAACAAAGGTTATGTTACAAAGTATTGAGTTGAACTTTTGTTATTGACCAAATACTTATTTTCCACCATAATTTACAAATAAATTCTTTAAAAATCCTAATGTGATTTCCTGGATTTTTTTCTCATTTTGTCTCTCATAGTTGAAGTGTACCTATGATGAAAATAACAGACCTCTCTCATTATTCTAAGTTGGAGAACTTGCACAATCAGTGGCTTACTAAATACTTTTTGGCCCCACTGTAGATATATTATTCACGTGTGTGTGTGTGTGTGTGTGTGTGTGTATCTCACAGTTGTAAATCTAACTGATATTGTCATGTTTTACATATAGCACGTCCCATGTGTTCCTTGTACTGAAAGAGAGTTGAGTTGACTAAAAGAAATTTTCATGTGTTGGGAAATATATTCTACTGTTAAAAAAAGGTTCACTTGAGATGCCTGTTTCTTTGAAATCATTTTGAATTGGCCTACATCAATTTATTACATTAAAAATGCAATGAAACATTGAAATTGTACTATGTCATACGGTAAAACAAAATATGTCATATGGTAAAACATTGAATTTTAAAAGAAATAAAAATAGATACTTTGTTTGTTTACAAGGTTCATGAAAATAATGGAGGAGAGCTAGTATGATATACACATATATATAACTTCAAGGCATTTTTGACTAATTTCTTGCAAAAAAATAGAACAAATGTCCATAGAGGGCATGCTGTGGTTGTTAAAAAACAAAATATCTAGTATTTGTGGTGTAGGTGGTTATATTTTGCAACTTGTTATATAATACTTACAGATCAACTATTACATTCATGGTTGTTTTTAACTGTGTCATGAATATTAAATTTAATTTATTCCTAAAAATCACTTCGTTTTACCGTATGACATTTTCAAGGACTGTATACAAAGAAACACATTAAAATGTCATATATTGTTATTTTTTATAAAGGGCACTAATAAAAACAAAAAATATACACATAGATGTACACAAAAAATGCTATATTTACTTTGTCCTTTAATTTTTATTTTTTTACTGTTTTGAAATTCTAAAACGTCACTGACCCGGGAGTGTGTAAATTATCAACAAAAGTTTTTTTTAAAAAGTGAACTAATCCTTTAACCCATGTTGTTGCCTTGCATTACTCAGTATTTCCATGGGTAACACTATACGTACATAGAAAGTGCATGTACTGCTAAATAAAGTGCAACCATAATGTCTTATGAGGCTATCAAACAATGTGTAGGCCTAATGATTTATAATCTCGCAGTTAAATTGCCCAGGAAACAAACACAAAAATGTACGACCCACCCAAACTTATCAGATAAACTGTTGCCTAATAATGATGATGATGGCTAGCCCTACTGGATATCGTACATAAACACGATTTGAATATGAAACAAATGAGCCATTTTGTTTCTGGCAGTGGGATTAAAAAAAAAAAAAAAAAAAAAACATTTAATAGAAAACCAGCTAACTACAGTGTTCTCACGAGCTCAGATGAGCACAATGTTCACTCCTCTGCCACCGCTCATTAGAAGCAAATCACACCCACTGTCTCAGTGGAGGAACATCCAACTCATTTCTTATCTGGCTTTTCCACACTCTTTACTGTGGACCAGAGAAGAAACCAATCATTGTCCTGATGCATATTACTGAATCCACTCATGAAGTCTCAAAGCACACGAGGCTGCCTTCTGTCTCTAATGCGACTTTAATTGTTTTCCTTACAGTAGAGTAACTTATCTTGCTGTCATGACACAGATTTAGTAAGAATCTGATTTTCATAATAGACGGCAAGGCTTGATAATCACATCAAAATTTGACTGTGAGAGCTGCATTCAATATGTTTGACATTAAACAGCCTTATTTAAAGGGGTTTTGTACAACTAAACCTTAAAATTCAAGGCTGTCCAATGGTTTTGGATGTTATGTCAGTTTTAGGTTATTTCGATCAGCATGCTAGTTCCTAGATTCTTGAAAATACCAGTATTTTAGGGTTGATTTCTCAAAGGTGAGAGTGCCTTCTCAAAAAAAAATCAGATGACAAAATAATTGACGACAATATTAGTAAATATGGGATCAACAAATGTGACTTTTTTAATTAATTAACACTCTACAACAGTGGCAGGACTATAGTTTAAAGATACAAGTCACGTGAGACTATGATTGGCTTTGGTATTGATCACTCTGTGAACACAATAATGTCCTACAATGTTCAAAATAGGTGTGCAAGAATGTGTCAAACTGGTAAAAAACGAATTGCAAAGTTAACAACGTGCCGGCATTTTTAATTTTGGTCACGTTCAAATCAAAATGACCCTAAAATGACATCTACTTGTGTGGAAGGTCATTATTTATAATAAAACATACCAATATAAATAGTTCCATATACATTTAACCTGGAAATCATTTCACCATCAAATGGAATTTACAAAAGGGATTTTTCTCTTTGTTTCGAAAGCTCACCACATGCCACTGCAGTGCATAAATGATGTGTACTAAACAACTAGAAAGTATACTGTGGAATTTAAAAATACTCTCCTACTGCACTGGCTTTCTCCACAACCCTTTTTTCTTCAAACTGAAACCTTTATTTTTAAGACCGTACAGCCTGGGGTTCAATGAGAACCCAAGAGCAAGCCAAGCACTCCAAAAAAACACAAGAGTTCAATCCTGTAGAGGAAAATTAGCATCTCTTCAAGTCTAATGTTGGTGGTAAGGATGTCAAGGGCTACCAAGGGCATGCTTTTCAAAAGCACAATATGCTTCAAGCACCATAAGTGCCATGAAAGTACCACATATCTGTACTGTAGGCTATGCATCTGCACTGATACACTATTATGCTACAAACCAAGAGAAAGAAAGTTGCAAATACAACAGCTTACTCATTGGTATTCATCCATGTGGCTTAAGCAAAAAGAAATACAATATCACAATGCATGTAACCACTTAAATTCATCTCGAAATATGATGCACTTTTGACTGTGTAATGCCAAAACTGAAGTCTCAAACGTCACTATTCCTATTTTAATAATCTAAACATCCTCAATAGCCGAAGCAAACAAACAGTAACAAACGAACTGCAGGGTTTCCTATCACAGCTGTAGTCTATTAGCACGCTACTCATACTAACCGGCTTTGATTTCACCTGTCAGATGCGCAAAAGAAGAGAACGCTTTAGAATAACTCTCATACATCTGATAAGCGGCTTTCAAAGTCTTAAAACACACGTATCTGACGATATATCGAGAACAAAACCTATACTTTTCAAAAAAACACTAAGAATTGCCTACCTTTCGCTGTAGTTTGTGGGCGAAGATCGGAGAGCTCGAGTTGATAGTCAGCGCGCGCTACACCAGAATGTCTCGAGTGATGATGCTTTTCCCTCAGTGGTGCGTTTCTCCAACAAATACATTCAGTGAAAGGCTAAACGCAGTCAATAGCTTTTAGAAATCCATGGCAACCGAGAAAACCCTCCACAACTTCGCTACATTGTGACCGGGTTAACACACCCCCTTCCTCAATGACAGTGACTCTACGTCTGCGGACTCTAACAATATGCCAATCGATGACTATGAATTTGTCAGAGGTCTTATGGGTATTTGTAGGGTACTGAATCACTGTATAATGTTCCCCTTTCATAATTTTGTGTCTAATTTTTTATAGTTCGAATAGATAATAAATATATGTTTGTATTAAATCAAATGGTCATAAAACATGACTTCAAATGTATGTTCCCTTAAAAAAAAGTCAAACAAACAAGGATGTTCAAACCAAGCTGGTTGTGTGAGCTGGTTGGCTGGTTTAGATGGGTTTGGAGCACTTTTCAGAGTGGGAAACCAGCTAGACTAGCTTGAACCATCTGGGAGACCAGGTTAAACCAGCTGAGTCAAAATAGTGTTATATTAATGCTGAGGACTTGGGTATAATATTTGGCCGCTGATGTTGTGTTTTCAGCACCTTAGACAGCAGCACAATTGGTGGCTTCTGGCTTATGTGTAGTGTGTCCTAGCATTTACAGGCACTACATTGTCATGGAAATATAGGCCAGTGTGCTATTGTGCTTAGCAGTGACCATAGATTTGAGCTTGTATACAGTCAAGAAACCCCCAAAAACAGACAATTAAAAAGCTAAATTGAATGTGCATTACATAAAATATCAAACCAAATGCACTTACAGTATTTAGAAAAGCACACTTCCAGGTTTCAATTTAACCAATTATAATTGAATAAAGTATAACTATATATTATATATTTATATTATATATGAATGAATTTAGAGAGTATGGCAAGATAAACTTTAAGGGTATGGGCTGTGGCTTGCATATATATGTATGGGACCCGTTGTGTGTGTGTGTGTGTGTGTGTAACCCCTCACCTGGGTCCCATACATATATTTGCAAGCCACAGCCCATACCCTTAAAGTTTATCTTGCCATCGCCAGTGTGGACAGCTTTTGTCAGTTATTCTCCTATTATCAATTTAAACCCATTTGGTTGAGTTTATTTATTATAGCCAACACATCAGAATTAACAGAGGAAATTCATACCTGCTAAACTGGTAAACTCATTCTAGTGGATCCCCTAAAAGACAGCAAATGACCAGCGAAAATCCAAACTAATCTAATTTGGGTCGAATCAAATCTAATTGAGAGGCTTACAAGATCATAGATTCACCCAGCACAAAATGTAATTGGATCTTTTTATGGGGCCCACTGCTTCTCAGTAGGTGCTCTCTTAAATCCAAATTGATTTATTGTCAGCCGGCGGACACCTGTCACATCTAAGTGTCTGCAGGGGCAGGAAAGTGTTTGCACTACACCAATCTATAGTGATAAGTATCAGACATGATGACTAAAAGGTTAGGGGAGTAGCACTAGTCTAGGTTAGGGGAGTTATGGGTAGTGTAGCAGAATATGTTGCTCAGCTGGATGCAGATTGGTAACAGCATCTTTTTGTGTGTGTGTGACAATGTTTCTGGGTGTGTAAAGAAGCATTTTCTGCAATTAAAATATATATATATATATATATATATATATATATATATATATATATATATACAATGTTTTAATTTGGTAATTAATATTAGAATAGTACTATTGTTTAAGTAAACTTTAAATGTTTGCCTAATGTGTGTGTGTCTGTGTGTATATATTTTGTATAGCAAACATTTCAAGTAAAAAAATCTACTATTCCAATATTAAAACATTGATTGTTTTTTTTCTTCAGAGACACTGACACTTATTCAGTTTACCAGTGACAAATGGAGGAATGAATAGCATTTTGGTTACAACCTCTTTCAAAAGTGTCAGAGTTCACCAGTTCAACCTGAAAACAATAACACCTTTTATCTTGACTCTCTCTCTTTCTCCCTCACTCTCTCACACACTGCTGTATCAATGGAGCAGAAATGACTCCATTGACATCCCTAGGACTGTGTAATGAGAATAAATGATGTGGAAATAAATATGCAGCCTGTTTGCGGTCTGCTGACCATATGTCTGAATATGAATTTCTCTGTGAGGTAAAGAAAACACTGGACTTTAAAGATAGTTATATTTTTTCCCCTGGAGGTAGAATGCAATTATGCAATATATATATATATATATATATATATATATATATATATAGTATATATATATAGTGGGAACCTAGACCATTTACATTTACACAAGATATTTTAGAGAACAAACAGATGGCTAACCATGGCTAAACATATTTTTCCAGAAAATAATTTATACTAAATAAAAGCGAAATTCATTTTACATCTTATTAAATACTAAAGCAGTGATTTAAGTAATTAAGTTTTAAAATTAATTATTATTAATTTCAAGTGTTTGTGTTCTTATTCAAGATACAGTTCAGAGTTAATGTAAAAGGTATTAAGGACCAAATGACATGCACACATATAAATCCAATAGTCCAACAACACAGGACTGAATGTTATGTTTTTTCCAAATGTAATTAACATATTATCTTTGGCTCTTAATCAGCAGCACTTATTTGCTAAAGGGATTATAGACTGTTGTCTTCATCTGCTATTAGGAACCGTTGAAAAGTTGTAAGTAGACATGGTCTCTTTTTCTCATTTCCTCTGAGTATGTGGTACATCAAGGGTGGATTTTTGATTCATAAGGCTTGTTGGTTTTCAGGGTGGATGTCAAATATTCCATTACCTGTGGTAAACACACACAAAAAACTATTTTATCTTTGAAAAATACACACTATCAAACAATCTACCTCAAAGTATATATCCATGCTTACTGAAAATGAAAGTTTACACACCAATAAGACCATTTTTACTCCACATAATCATCTCACATTATCTTCCTGTTGAAACAGCATGTAATGTCCTTTTGCTCCAGCATACTCATCTGATTACAACCAGATTATGAGATTCTCATGTGGCGAGCCATTGACTAGAGGTTTCCTTAATAACCACATAATACCTTTATCACGATTTCATATGCTGCTTCCTGTAATCCTCCCCCCTCCGAAACCCAAGCAAATGCCACTGGAAGATGTGGGTTTAGTCAGCCCGAGTCCTATTGGGCGAGCTCATCATTGAGCTGAAGCAGAGGCCATAACTGCTGGTGAGCATGTAATTAAAATGTGCGGATAGCAACGTGGAAAGGCATTTTCCAATTCCATAGTGGACAAAGGATGTGCAGGCCCTGGAGAGATCCATGGTGTTGATGAAGAACTTAATTATATGCTTTCAAAGAATCATTAAATGGTAATGAAGCAATGAAGAGGATAAAGGCGGGCAGCTTGAGAGATGGAAAATGTCTCCGAAAATATGACTTTGATAAGTCATATAAAAGTAAGAATGTAATGCAAATAATTTTTCTTTATAACTCATGCAAGCATAACATTTGAAGTTGTCTCCTGTGCTCTCCACCGCCGCTCTGCGAGAATTAAACGTGGCATAATTACATTTCTCAGTGGATGATTGCTGCACAATGACAGTGTGTTCATGCAAATAATGACTTTCATTTCTTACCCTGATGTGCCGAGGAGAGGCTTGCATCTCCATATCTGATGTCGGCGGAACACAAAAGACGCTACATGCTTCGGAATAGAAAAACCTCCCAGATTGATCTCGTACATCTGAATTTATTGTTGGGTGAATGTAACCACAGCAAATGAACACTGGGATGGTGTTGCTATTCTTCAAAAGAGGTCTCGCTTCATCAAAAATTCAACATGGCCCCTCAGGCATTTCATTGACATGTTTGCTCAATTCCCCTGATGAAATTCAGAGATGAGAAAACACAACAGTTTTGCTGTTTGGCCCCTAAATCCCACTGGAGACTCAATACATGGTAATAGATTTTTTTCTCCTGAGGGATGAGATTTTGCCACATCTCAGTCGAGAGCTAGCTCCACCTTATCAGACAGAATCATCGCAGTTAGTAAGCCATGGGCTTGGGAAAGAGAACGTTTATGAATACTATACGGAGGACAGGTTTTTTAGGGGAAAGTACATGCAATCAATACGGTTAGACCACGGGGCAGATGAAATCACAATTTAAGCTGCACAGCTAATTAAAGAAACGAGACAAAAATCAATAAGTAAGGTCCCTTGAATATTGTCTCTACATGTTATGCCCACGCAGTGATTTGTAATTGGATATTAAAAGGTGAGACCGATGGTTTACGGGTTTAGTTTGGGGGTAGTGATCACTGATGATGCGAAAGAAGGGAAGAAAGCACAAAAAAGCCTCATTTCTGAAGACGATGCTAGTTCAAAAGAAATTAAGTTTTTTGATGTAAACATTCCAGGATTTTCTCCATATAATGGACTTTAATGGGAACCAAACCGTTCAAGGTCCAAATGAGAGTTTCAGTGCAGTATCAAAGGGCTTTAAACGACACCAGACGATGAATAAGGGTCTTATCTAGCGAAGCGATCGGTCATTTAAAAAATAAATAAAAAGCTTAAGTTTTATAAGCACAAATGCTCGCCTTGCTCTGTTCTGTGACTCTTCTGTTCAAATTCGTTCATCAAAATTAACAAAACTTTTTTCGAGTAATGACTCGAAGGCTCCAAGATAAGACCCTTATTCATCGTCTGGTGTCGTTTAAAGTCCTTTGAAACTGCACTGAAACTTTCATTTGGACCTTGAACCGTTTGGTTCCCAATGAAGTCCATTATAAGGAGAAAATCCTGGAATGTTTCAAAAACCTTAATTTCTTTTCAACTGAAGAAACAAAGGGGTGAATAAATTATCAGCAATTTTTGTTAAGTCTAAGGAAATCTAAGATTTTCCCCAAGATTCATCTGATTGATAAGGTAGAAACTTATTTTCAACAAGTTACACAATAAAACAAAAAACATGGGCCAAAAAATCCCCTAAATTAACACCGAAGGAGTAGTTTGTGACATATCAATGCACCAGAATATTAATAAGACTTGGAGTAGGCCTTTTTGTCAGTAAGCAACACAGAACATCTTAGCAACCACATAGCAACATGCTAAAAAACATCCAGAACACCTGTATAGCATAGCAA